CTTTTCTGTGATGCTGTGATATTAGGGCAATTCATACGGGCATTCTCATTAACCTAGACACCATTTCTCATGAAACTCCATTGGAAAGATACCAAACACAAATATAAAGCAATACTCTTCAAAGAGAGCAAGATCTGCAGCAGAAGGTAGTATGTTCTGATGGCCAAACAGGCTGTTGTTGGCTGTAGCTTAGACAATCACCACAGCACCATCACCATGGAGTTCTCTTCAGTGGTAATTGTCCAGCTGAGTTGCTGTTCTGGAGAGGAAAAAAAATAGTATTTTTTTACCAAATGTCTGTTCTTTGCTCCAAATTTGCTTTAAAATATTACCCCTCATCCAGACCATAGCATAAAATCCATTCCCAGGGAAGTGGGCAGCAGCACAAGCTGTAGCAGGAGAGCTCAGTGAGTCCTTATGCAGAGGGAGCACTGCTGAGCCCCCAGAAAACACCACCACCACCACTGAACTCCCTGACACGGCTGAAATGGATTCCTAAAAACAAAATAATTTCTTCAAGGAGTAAGGAAGAGTTTTTCAGGCTCTTGCACCTTCCTGTAAAGCTTCTGTTCCTGGGCTTGGAGTCAGATTGAGCACTGGGCAATGTCAGGGCAATTTCTGAATTCAAAATAGTGTTTGGATTTTCACTTACAAAATCTTTACTTCTTGATTTTGATCTACAATATAAGACAAATCTTTATTTATATCTTGATAGGATATCTTGGAGCGAAGACTCTATATGCTTCCCCAATTGAAATTCTATTCAAATAGTTCAATTAACTTCTCTGACTGACTTCTAGCTGTTGCCAAGCATGAAGAATTAAACTGCCTCTTGTAAAATGTGTCAGAAAGACCACGATTTAGAGTCTCCATCAAAAACTGACAAAGCATTAAAAGAGCAGCTGGGCCTGACTGCTAATGAGAGGAGAGGACTGTGTTCAGTGTCACCTCTGAGAGCTCCCAGAGCAAAATAAGGAATGTCACAGGTTTGTGAGCACAGCCTGCAGTTAAGGTGTGCATTTATGTACATCTCCTGGGTGTAAAACTTGTTCATTTCTGCTACAAAAGCCACTGTTCCTGCTCTGAAGTCTTTCATTTCCTCTGTCACTAGTGAACAGATGGTTACCCTTGAAGTTTGCAGGTTTTGCATGAGGCCATACCTGCTGAAATGTATTTCCATGGAGAGGGTGGTTTGGAGAGGGTCGTCTGGATCTTTTCCCAAAGCATGCATTTTCTCCACCCAGAAATATTCGATTAGACAGGTATGCTTCAAGCAAGGTAAAATTACCTAAATCACCCCCAATGCCTGTAATTTCTGCCTTACTTGTTTCATTAGAACACTGATATGTTAAATGTTTCCTAGCCTAAAAAAGAAGAATAAAATCCATTCACTGCAGCCTAAATGCCTTTGATTTATGGATCTCTGATTCATCCTGACAGCTGCTTAAAAATTGATGTCAAATTCTGCATTAATGTTGGCCAGAAAAAGAAAAGAAATGTGTTAGGGAACAAGAGTGCCACAAAATGCAGTTCCCACTGTGGGTGTGTTTAATGAAAAGCAGGGGTAGCATTTAACTTGCCAGGGAAGCATCAGTACATGTTACTAGATCCTTTGTCTTTTTTAAATCTGTTGAGGAAATGTGTACTGGGGCATAAAAATGCACCTCTAACACTGATGTCTCATTATGTTATTTCCTTTCTTTAATTTGCATACTTTTTACATATGTTGCAGCTTATGTGAAACGGAGATAATACAAATATTTTGTTTAAAAAGGGATAAAAGAAAAATAACTTATAAATTACTTTATTTTCCTTTTATTTTCTTCCTAATGTGAACATATTTGAGATTTAAAACATAGCTTAATAGCATGATTGATAAATAGCATTCTCTATAATGTCTTGGAGAAATTATCATAAAATCAGTAAAACATAAAAAAAAAACCTGATTGTTATTTGTCACTGCTCTGGTTATTTTTTCCAGCAATGCTTCATTACAAGTGGTAATATTTTCCAATAAAATAACCAGATAGTCTGAAATTTTAAATATATTAAGGGTTTGAATAAATAAAAGCATCTGTTTTCCTCTTGGAATAACAGTGTCTTCTACATTGCATTTCAAAAAAGTTTTATTTAGTATACATCCATGGCAATTTGCTTAGTGTCCTGTGCCCAGAAATATACTAAAGCTATATTAAACTATAATATAATTGAACATAATTAAACTACATTGTTAAAGTTTTTTAAGACGTGCAAGATTCAAGATTATTAAATTGTTATGATAGTACCTGTGTTTTCTGCTGGGTTTGTCTCTGTCTCCATTTTCATGGAGATGTCCATGCAGTGTCCTGGGTTGTACTGACCATGATGTTAAAGGTCAGTGCTGGATAAGTCACTTGGACAGAGTGGTGGCTTTTGAGAGCAGTTGATTAAATTCAGTAATATTGGCTGTGGAATTTTTCACTGTGGGGTTTTTTTTGGCTATGCATGAGATCGGTGTTTCAGTTTTCCTGTAGAATGATTTTTTTTTTTAAGGTGGGGAAAAGAACAAAGGAAGTCATGTGGACAGCTAAGCCCTGCTCCAGACAATTTTTCTTTTTGACTGCAGGAAAATTACTGGCGTGGCACCAGTGCCCTTCTCAGCCACTTTGAGACTTGGCAAATTTTCCCTAGGCCATTAGGATAATGTTTGCATTAGCCTTTTGTAATAAATAGGTATCAGAAGAGTTGCAAGGCTAGATTTGTCTTGACTGCTGATGGTAGACTCTTGCTGGGAAAAAATCAAGGGGAATAGCTTAAAAAACAGCAATGCTTTATAGTATCAGCAGGAAGGTTAAGTTTCCAGTCATGAATATCTGAAACTCCTGACTCAGCCAAACGTTTGATCCTCTCTATCCATTGAGTGACCTGTTCATAATCAGGGAAGTGTTATGATGGAAAGCCTCTTGAGGGAAAGAGGGTGGTGTTTTTGCACTTGTGCTCTGAGCCTTGAGAGACCAGGGCTCAGTTCCCACCCTCATGGCACATTTCTCTGTCTGCCGCAGCTATTTCAGTGCCTCCAGCTGATGCAGGCACCCAGCAGAATTTTATAAAATTTCCACCACAATTAGGGTTTTCTGCTGAGCACCATCCCCATGTGTACATCCGAAGGCCTACCAAACACCTCGTGGCCTTCAGCATCCAAATCCATTTGAAAACCTGGGCTATACCTCCCAGGATTTCTCAGTGGAGAAACGTCCAAGCTGGACTTTGAGGAGCAGGGTGCAGTGCTGAACTGGTGAGGCTCACATTGGGTAGCAGCTTGGAGGGAGAGGGATGCTGCTATAAATACAAGTCACCCTCCCACACCTCCATTTGTGGCCGAGGGATCCCGTCCATCTCCATGAGTGCCCTATGGCTGCAGTGCTTTCTCCTCCTGCCGCAGTAAAATGACAGACAGCCATGGGATTAACAGCATCAGCCAATTTCCTGGGATTTCATGTCAAATTCTGAGGCCCCACCCCAGCACAGCTCTTTCAGTTCAGACACTCCCAGTTTTACCTCTCTAAATGCCAGTTTGTGACCATTTCATTTGCTGCTGCTCCTAGCACTTTTTTACATTACAATACACCCTGTCTGCCCTTAGCTCCTTAGAGCAATTGGCTATTGCAAAACATAGTTTAGGTGTAAAAATTGTCTACGTGCTTGTTTCATGAAGTGAAAGAACAGAATATCCCTAATATTAAACTGTAAAGCAGTGATCATTTATTTGTGAGGCCATTAAAGGCATTAAAGGCATTTAACAACCTGGTGATTCCCAGATAATTTCAGACCACATATATTTCATGTACACAGGGGATTTAAAATTAAAAGGAAAATACTTTCAGCAATGTCTGATGCAGGTAACATCAAAAAGTGCTGTACAGAGAGGAAAACGGGTGTAAAGTTGAGGATAGCTGGATCAGTGGAGGGCCCAGTTCACAGGGTCATGGCAGAAGGCCTGGCAGCACTGTAGGAAGTCCCTGCTTCATCCCATTAGTGGGATTTTGCTCCCTCAGCAGTGCTGACGTGCATTTTTGTGGAATTGATCAGTGATCTTGACTGTAAATGTTATTGGTTGGAGAGCCCAGCTCCCAGCAAAGAGTCACAAATTGCTGCATGGCCTTGGGCTGTGGGAGCCACAGGGAGCATGTGGAGCTGCTCTCTGGGTGCCAGCCTGGTGCAAGAGCAGTGATGCTTTGGTGAGTTCTGGTTGTGAAACCATGTGGGAATCTGTGATTGAAAGTGTTTCTGATCCAAATGCAGAGTTTGGAGGAGCTTCTCTGACAGACTCATGGCCCTGCAAAACAGACTGTCATAAATGTGTATGGGGTGTTGGATGCAGTGCACCTCTCTTTTTGCAGTGTTTGCAGCAATGTCATCCAGATAAGCCTCAGTGAAATAGACATGGAGCCATTAGAGAGGGTCCAAAGGAGGCCACAGGGATGGTGAAGGGCCTGGAGGGGAAGTTGTGTGAGGAGGGGCTGAGGTCACTTGGTCTGTTCAGCCCAGAGAGGAGGAGACTGAGGGGAGACCTCAGTGCGGTTATAACTTCATCAGGAGGGGAAGCAGCAGGGCAGGCACTGATCTCTTCTCTCAAGTGAGCAGTTATGGGACCTGAAGAAATGGCATGAAGCTGTGTCAGGGGAGGTTTAGGTTGGATGCTGAGAAAAGATTTTTCACCCAAAGGATAGTTGGGCCCTGTAACAGCCTCCGGAGGGAAGTGGTCACAGCACCAAGCCTCACGGAGTTCAAGAAGCATTTGGACAAAGTTCTCAGGCACAGGGTGGAATTCTTGGGATGTCCTGTGTAGGGCCAGGAGTTGGACTTCAGTGATCTTTGTGAGTCCCTTCCAACTCAGGATAATCTGTGATCCTATGATTGCCTTTTGGTTCCTTCCAACTCAGGATAATCTGTGATTCTAAGATTGTCTTTTGGTGATCACTTGATTTACCTAAGGTTCCTTCTCTCTCTCTGTCTGCTAGGCCTAGAAGACGTGGTAGCAATAATGATTCCCGAGCCCAAAGGCAAGGAGATAGTGAGCCTGCTGGAGAGGAACATCACGGTGATGATGTACATCACCATCGGGACGCGCAACCTGCAGAAGTACGTGAGTCGCACCTCGGTGGTATTCGTCTCCATCTCCTTCATCGTGCTGATGATCATCTCCCTGGCATGGCTGGTCTTCTACTACATCCAGAGGTTCCGCTACGCCAACGCCAGAGACAGAAATCAGGTCAGCAGGGCTGGAGAGACTGCTTGTGTTTCCAAAACATCACCGCAGGGTTTGTTGTAGGAGTAAAAGTTAAAGAAATTGTCTGTGTGTAGTAAAAACAGGCAACCAAAGGAAAGCCCAATAAAGGTGAAAAGAATAGGAACATTAAAATGACTGGGAAAATCCAAAACTTATGCCAGTATAGATGGGATTCAAGGAAAAACAGAAATGAATAGTGTATGTATATTATGGGGTTTTTTCCTTATGCAAAACACAAAAAAATAGACAGAAAGGTGATGTTTATTTGTGAAAATATTGTTGTGGTACATATAGCCCAATGTCATAGCAATGTGTACAACTAAAGACCCTTGAGATCAAAATGCATTGTGAGGTATGTGTGTGTCAAGCAGTGTTCTTGATGAGTGAAGAAAGGGGGGAAAAAAACCCTATTCTCACTTTAATGCTTCCTTAGAAGGATCTTGGGCTAGAAAGAGAAGTGTTGCTCTTCATTTGACAATGATCACTGAACAGGACTGTAGTGATAGCCACTAATGTTATTAAACCATTGTTATTGGTTTTGGCATCTTTTCCAAAGCCCTTGAAAGAGATAAAAAGCCTATAGAGCTGAAGAGACATCAGTAGCAGTGGTTTTGTAAAGCACTGCCCATCTTTATGGTAGTTCAGCAGTGAATAATAATAGCAACATTAATAATAAATGTAATATTTTCTTGGCCAGATGCAGCTATCTCAGCAGAACTGGGAAGCTGAGGCTTGTACATTTCAACCTAATGGTACAGTAGAAAATGTTATCAACACATGAAATTTGAAGAGATAACCATTTTACTGTATGTAAAAAATGCACTGTAATTCAGAGAGCTTTCTGAACCCTCAATAAATTACTGTCAGGGCCAGGAGGGTTACCTAGCTTATTCTGCAGAAAAGGTAAAACTCAGAGTATGAACTATCATTTGGTAGAGAAAAGGCCTGCTACACACTTTGTAACAAATACTTGATGTGTAGGAATCCCTTGCCTTCCCCCATTGAAATTCAGGCATCCTCTGAGATGGAGAGCAGCTGCTCTGTATTTACAGACAGAAAGAATGTATCTTCCATTTAAATATACAGTCTGGAATTTTGGATAGCAAGAACAAGACTATCCCAGCTGGAATTGGAACATCATTGGCAGCAGATTCGCTGTGACTGCAGCGTCTGGGGTAATTTTTAGATGCTTTGTCTGCAGAAGCACATGCGTGCCTAATTTGTGTGTGTGAGTAAGTGTGCTTTCAGTCAAGTAATTATACAGGCAGCTTAGCAGTGTAAATAGACATACATAAACATGAAACTCAGCAAAATAGGAAGCTCATTCAGGTAATATGTTGTAGTTTGAAACTGATGTCTTTATATGTTCAAACATATTTCCTTTTCAGTATTTTCTTTCCAAAGTTTGAATGAGACCTACATGTGCACAAGCAGTTGTCCTATGGAGAGGTTTTAACAGCTTGGTTATTATGGTAGTTCTGTTCTTTAGAACAATAAGAAGGGATGCCTCCTAAGTAATTACATATTATTAATTATTAATATTATTATTTTGAAGGGAAAAACTGGGCAATTATAAGGAGCAACCTAAAAAGTCTTCATGCAGTTTTCTTCATACAGTTTTGTCTGACATCTAGTCTCTTTGTTAGCTCTTTTCATATGAAAACAGTAGCAATATGCAAACAAAACTCTTTTATTTGTGTTAATGGGTTGCTGTGGCTTTTTAGTCTTGTTTCTTTTAGTCCTGGCTACAGAATATAATGATGTAGGTAGTTCAGAAGTGCTCAGCTTGCTCTTGCCCTTCCCATGAGTTTCCTCTTTGTTTTCCATCAGGTTCTGGGTTTTCTTTTTCTTTGACACATTCTGTTGTAGTTCAAGGATGAGATCACAAATTTCTGATCAAAATCATGCTGTCCTTTTGTCAGGCCTCATAAACACTTTTATGTAGTCCCTCTCTATCTGGTGACTCTCCAAGTCCACTTCCTTTCTTTCACTAAGTGTAAGTTTCTGAGCAAGCAGTAAATCCAAAACAAAGTGATTTGGTTACCATCAAGAAAGCAGTGAGTCCAGCTATTGAGAGAGGAAGCCAGAGAGACTGAAAAATCTCCTGGAATCATTTGCTGTGACTCCACAGTGAGATAAAACCTGGACATAGTCCATCTACATCCTCAGCCACCACTCTTACTCATCATGTGTGCAAAATCTAAGTTCACATGCCAGGAGGAAGACACAGCTTACTCCAATTAGGTGCCTGATTTTGATGAGTGGAGAATCAGGATTTCAGAGATTCTTGCTGAATGCCAGGGTCTATTCATCCCCACTTGGATCAGTGCAGTAGAGCACAGAATTGTCTTCCACCATGGGCTTGTGCACCTACAGCCAGGGTGTCGGCTACAAACGTGGTGAGATATCTGTTTTTATTTTAATTTTCTATTTTAATACATTTAATTTTTGAGAGTGCCTCTGGCACAGACAACTGCACATTAGATATGGAAGTAGAAGATAGGTAGTAATATTCACATTGATTGAACCTTTTTTCCTATCTAACAAGATGTCCAGGAGGTTGGTGGTTGCCTTGCTGATGAATCCTTTCAACATGAAGAGAATAAATTTGTGTAAGAAAATCTGTTTCCTCAGCAGCTTGCTCCTGGAGGGCTCCTGAAGATGGGAGAGTTGAGAGATTTTGTAAAAGGCTGTGGAAATTGTTTAAATCAAGAAATATCACATTGTAGAGCTAATTGGAAGCAGAATTAGAATTACATGACAAGTTAAGTTCCAGAGACAATTCAGCATTGCCATCTCCTCAAGACCACTGCATCTGACATGCTTAACTCCTTCCAGTCCAGTACTGAATGTTGCAGCATTGCTAATGAGATTATGAGATTTATGACTGTAAATCTCTAAGCCTCACTTTAAACCCTTAAACTGCTGTAATGCCTCTTATCTTTTGGGAAAAATAATTGGTTATTGATAGCATGCCTTGCATTCAAATGGGAGAATCCTTTGAAGTTACGACTTTAGACCAAGGAATTCCTGTTCTTTCAGAAAGTAAATTATTCTTATTTATGTGTAAGTTATGAACTTATCTATATTTACGATAGATAAGAGAAAGAAAACATGAAAGCAATCAAATCAAAGATGTAGAGGAGTTTTTAATCTTGTCCTTTCCCCTTCGAGAATGTGCAAAAAAGAACTGAGACATTTCATTCATTAAAGTAATAGTAATGATAAAAAGGGATCACAAGCACTTTCTGAAGCATGACATAATGGCTCTTGTCTGGCTGCATGTTATCAGTCTGTCTTTGATTCACATTAAAGAACCAAATAGCTGACAAGAAATGTTTCCAACTCTCATTGATTCTTTTATTTAAGGGAGACTCTGAGAAAGATGGACCACAGAAAGAGATGTTGTCTAACTACAAGATACTCCTTCATGTGCAACAATTAAGTTGCTGGAAAGCTCATATGTAAATCTCCTTTATAGCCAAGATTGTCTTCACCTCTTTAGCCAGATCTGAAATTGCACTCTGCTGTCAATATTGCATGTGTTTTGTCAGCTTTCCAATCCAACCAACTTACTGTCTAAATTTAATCTAGTGATTTTAATTGAATCTGAAGACCAAAGTGGCAGTTTAGTGGTCACATCTGTGTGGTGATTAGGTCTCAGCTTATGAATTACCTCAAACTTTCTTCTGTTTTTGGCCGCATGCTCTCAGCCCCTCCAGCTGGAAACCCTTGCTGCTGACAGGCCCCTCTGAACTCTGCAGCTTCCCAGCTCAGAAAGTTGAATGTCTTCTGGATCACCAAAGGCCCTAAGTGTCTCTCTTCTCTAGCAACACATGGCTAGAAATGTGTTTGGGGAAAGGAGGCGAAGGGAAAGGTTCAGGTCATTTATTGGTGGCAAATTGGAACGTGCTGTATCATGAACTGTTTTAAAGAAAACATTGGAGTGGGCATTGCTGCATGAAACCATGTGAGAGAGGCATGGAAAAACGAGGAATGCCCAGAGCAGGGTCACAGGATGGTCTGGGGGCAGAAGCACATGGCAGCTGTGCTTCCAGCTGCAGAAAGGGTGGCCAGAGAGGAGTCAGGATCAGCCTCTTCCTGGAAGTGCACAGGCTAATGGTCACAAATTACCAGAAAGGGAAATTCCATTAGTGTGTTTAGAGAAGAAAAGAGGCCGAGATTGGTCAAGCGCTGGAACAAATTATCCACAGAGGTTGTGAAATCTCCTTTCTTGGAGATAGTCAAAACTTGACTAACGCAGCTCTGACTTTGAAGTTGATCCAGCCTTGAGCAGGGGGTGGGAATGCATGACCTCCCAAAGGCTTTTCCAGCCTGTGAGACTGTCTCCCGACTGCCTTGTGGCTGGATTAGCACAAGTGAGCAGCCAGGTCCTTTAGCACTGACACAGGACAAGCTCCATGGCTGGCCAGTGACTGTGTGAGCTGCCCTGCGATGCTCCCAGCCTCTTGCAAGGAGCAGAAATGTCCATTTGCAGTGTCTGAGCACAGGGTGCTTTGTGTCAGGCTTTAATCAATGTGGCTGTGACCCTGCAATGCTCCCAGCCTCTTGCAAGGAGCACACACGTCCTTTTGCAGTGTCTGAGCACAGGGTGCTTTGTGTCAGGCTTTAACCCTGGTGGCTGTGACCCTGCCAGCACAGTAACAGTGTTTTGGAAATGTGGGGGAACAGTCAGAAACATTACATGGTAATCACTTTATGGTCCACTGGAGGAAATGATAGAAAGGCAAAGAATGAGTAAATGGTTATGTATGGACAGGATGTTACCGCTGGACTATATAGTGCTGTACCTGTAAGAAACTGCAGATGCTTCCACCTCATTTTTATGAAATAGGCAACTCTGTATTGCAGGAAAAAATACAGGAGAAATTATTCAGAGTTTTTGTAGTTAAAAAATTTAACAGCTCACTTTCAGGAGTTGTATCCTGCTGAAGATCATGAACTAGTTATGGAACATGTAAGAATAAAGTTCAGCCTTCACTCTGCTAACTGCCCAGTATTTTTTTATGTTTAACAAGTGTCATTAAAAAAAGAGAGGGAAGAAGTAGGATAACCAAATAATGGACTTGTTACTGCATTGGTACGCACTGCTGCAGCGTCGAAAACCTATTGTTCACCCTATTGTTGAACACCTATTGCCCTTTTTATGAATTATTATGTTTATATCTATACACTCTCCTGTTCCATGTAGTTAAAATTATTAAGAAGCCCAGGGAGGAAAAGGTTTGATTTGTGCATGATGAGATGCTCTTTGCTTAGAGCCACCTCTGTGTTGCAGCGGCGCCTTGGAGATGCTGCGAAGAAAGCAATCAGCAAGCTGCAAGTCAGGACCATCAGGAAAGGTGACAAGGTAATTTTTCAAAATGCTTGTTACTAAATTAAACTCTGTGCTGGGGATTCCTGTAGACCTCTGGAACAACGAGGCAGAACAGAAATGCCAATTGCTTGTTTAGCTGCTGTGTCCTTCAGTGCTGGTAAGCAAGTTACAGGTGAAGCTGAGTGTGGAGAGGGGGTGATTCGGTTAAAGATGCAACAAATTCTGAAAGTTTAAAACATACAAACTAAATCTGCATGCTTCCCACTGCAAGTTTCCATCTGGAAACGTGTCAGAAAATCTGACTTGCTGCTTTTGAAATGCGTTACTGGATTTGCAATGTGCTTCAGTGACTGTTTTACTTTGTCACATAGGCTCGTGTATGAAGAGATTAGCTAACAAACTAAGAAATAAATATGATGAATATTCTCTTTCCTGTAGGAAACTGAGCCAGACTTTGATAACTGTGCTGTTTGTATCGAAGGCTACAAGCCCAATGATGTTGTCAGGATATTGCCTTGCAGGTAAATTGAATGTGCTTTTAGTTCTAATGATCTCTACTTCAAGACAGTCTCTTCTCTCAGTTTCACAGTGGTGAGATTACCTGAGAACTCAGGGAGGGAAGGGTGAATTTATTATTTTGGCCTGTTCTGAATCTCTTGGTAAAGATATCTGAAATGCTTCTTTATTTAACATGAAGTGAAACTAGTGATTGGTGGTGAGACCCTGAGGGTTTCGTGTGGTAGCCAGAAATTTTGTCTAACCTGAGCCTATAATAAAGTCTTTAGCAGGATTTTTAAACTGAAGTTTTGATTTATCTGTTTTCCTCACTGTTTTTTTTCTAATGAGAATGAATGCCTTAGGAGAATTTGCCTCTGACTTGTCCTGTTCACTGGCTTGAGAAACCAAAATACTTGTTTATTTTCCTGCTATAGTAGATACTTGAATGTTACAAGCTGTCCATTTCTGTTAGTTCATGTGATTCATTAAATCTGTTTACTGCCATCATGAAATGGCTAACACAAAGCAACAGATTAATCACAAATTTGACCTACTGCAGATTCCCCACAATGACAAATTGCATGTGAACTCTTTTTTTTCTATAAGCAGACACAAACACATCACTTTATGAAGCAGAAATACGGAAAAATGAGAAACTACCAGAAAATGTGGACCTTGGTTTGGCATCAAGCCTGTTAGTACAGAAGCAGAATAAAGCTTGGAAATTTTGCATGATAGAGACAGGCAGTGTTTTGAGGTAGATCTACAACAGCTGAAATATATGTCCAAGCTTTAGCTTTCACTGTGTCCTGCCTCATAATTCAATGAGCCCTTGTCATCCAGGGCGTTGTGTCAGGCAGAGGGAATAGGAAACACAGAGTTAACAGGTGGTGTTTGGTTCTGGCTGGCTTGAAAGGTCACCCAGAAAGTGACTCATGCTAAAAGGGTAGCAGCAGCAGAACTGCCTTGTAAAATACCCACAGTTTGAGCCTTAGCAGGCTGGAGTTACACCAGCTCAAAGGTGTTTCTCAAGCAGCTCTTTCACCAACCCTGGCTTTCCTGCTGCACAAACTGCAAGGGCAGTCAGTATTTTACATACCTGCACAGGTTTGAACTTCTGAAACATGAAATGGTACTCATGACTCTTTCTGCTCTTTTCAACCTCATCTCCTCATCCAAAACAAAGAGTGGATTTATTTCTGTTTCTTTGAAGTGAGTAGGAGAGTGTTATATCTTAATAAAGACCTACAGACTCTGTAGTTTTCCTGCTCCAGTATCCTCAGTTGAGCCATGTGCATTTTCTAGCATGGGAACCTCATTAAACCTCCAGTATATCAGTGGATGAGCTCTGAAGTAAAAAACAATACATGTTTACTAGTCTTGTTTTCCCAGCTGTCCTCTCTTTGCTGCTGGCTCTGGATAGCTGTTCTTGTGTACCCCACTCTGGAGAGCTCAGAGGAGAATTACCAGTGAACTTGTTCTTCTTCCCCTCTGTCTTCGTCAGGTAGCTTGTACAGCTGACTGAATAATAAACTTCACTCTACAGAGTGTATTAAACAAACAAGGAATGACACTTGATAGCAGTAAAAAGTGCTGACTTGCAGCTGGTTTTAAGTTTAATGGTAGCAAACATCCCTGAAGTTGTCTTTAAGGGCACTGACACCAGATCAAATGTAGCCAGGTTTATTGTTCCTGGAGTGTCATCTCTTGTCACAGCCTTACTTCATTCTGCTTGTCTTCCATCTCCAGTTTCAGAACACCACTGCCTTTTGTGCTCCAGCTTTGGAGAACGTGCTGGCCCTGCTGCTCCCAGTGTGTGCCTGTTACTAAACTTTTACTAACTAAACTTCTGTAGGGAGGTGAGACATTGCTTCCAGCCCTATCTCTGCTGAGCGCCTCATAGGTTCTTGTTTTTGCCATTTCATTTCTTTCACTGATAAACACATTCTCTGACCTTGTTCCAACTCACTCTTTTTCCCTGAACCTTCACTCCACGAACAGCTGTGATTTCAGTTTTCACTCCTGCTTTCTCTTTTTATTATCTTCCTGTGAAAACTATTTTGTCACACACATTCTTCCCTTTTATTCCTTCCTCTCACCCTCATCATCTTCTTTTGTCCTTCTCAGAAGAAAATAATGCTGTACATGCACCCCCCAAAATCTCACACCATCTTGCCTTCTTGTTGGATGCTACTCAGCCTCTCACAAAAATTCCAAATTCTTCACTTCAGCCCTAGGTTTAATCCAGGCAACTGATGCTCTTACTTGGGGTTATCAGGGATGTACCTCTCTTTCTGCATAGAAGTGGAAGCTGAGAGGAGAATAGTTTCCCTTCATCTGGAAAAAAAGCCTCTCAAAATCGTTGGCAAGCTGAACACTTTACAATAGCTGTACTAAAAAAAAAAAAAAGATAACAACATTATTTAATTATATATTTATATTATATAAATAATTATATATAATTAATATATAATATATAATTTATATATAATAATAATTAACAATATATATTTATAATTCCTTTATTACTGTTATTGTTATTGTTATTATTATTGTTATTATTTGGACTGAGTGTGACATGATTTTTTTTCTTGTATGATTAAAATTGCATCTTTAAAAAAGCCACAAATACATTTCAAACAAAAGCAGGGGTCCCAGGAAGGCAGCCCTCTGGAGCAGCACAGGGCACTGGCATGCACACACATCGTTCTTGGCAGCTTTTTCCAACACACTCTGCAGTCTCCTGGGATGAAGGCTGCAAACCCCCTGGCAATTTATTGTAGTGCTTCATTACCTTGGCTGTAGTGAAGCCTTTCTTGTTGTGTAACCTGGATCTCACTTGCTGCAGTTTAAACAACATCGTTGTGCTGCTTGTCCCTGGGAGAGGTGGGGAACAGTTGTTTCCTTTCCGTCATAAAAATCCTTTTGAGGCTCTGACAACATCTCGCCTTCCTCTCTGTCAGCTCATCAATTGCAGTTCTTTTGAGAAACTTTTCAAATCAACATCACTTTGTAATGAATGTGGTTGCACACAATAGGGAAAAAATCTGTATTTTTTTCTAGCTTTGACTTTGATTGTCAAAGCCATGTCCTGAGCCTGAGCTTGAAACATCTCTCACTGTTTTCCTGTTTGGGTCATTACTTCTGGAATCACCCATGGTGACTCCATCACCTCCTTCCATTTAAAACCTGCCTCAGTCAGAACTGCAAAGGGAGGGATCTTTAGTGCAGTTGATCTTTTTACATCTTTGCCTTACCATGGGACAGTGAAATGCTGCAGTTCTCTTGTCATATTTTATGCTGACATTTCTTTTGCTTGAATTTGGAACATGAAACAATTGACAATTAGCTGAATGCCATTAGCATGTACATAGCGCTATACCCAATAAACTTTCAAATCCAAATCTGCAAAGCCTGCCACCTTGCTTTGCTGCACAAATGTTGACATGTTCAAAACAGATATTGTAAGAGCTCTAATCGTATAATGCAGTAAAAGTTTTTAAAAGGCAAACCTTCATCTGATTTTCAGTAGCATTTCATTATTCTGTGGATTTCTGTCAATAATCAAGTTCCCTCTGTAGTACATATTAAATCTGAAATTAATGGAGTCATAATACAGTGTGCTAAATTAGTATTGAGATGTGCAAAGTGACAAGATCTGTCATGTTTTTAAATTACTTGGTGTTGTTAGGATTTCTTTTAGAATATTGTTTTTGAAGCCAACTTTAGGAACACTGAACTTCAGATTTTAAAGTCTTTCAGGCATGAAAATGTTCCAAGCTTTTGGTGATGAACAAACATCATGAAATTCTCTAATATGAATCCCAGTTTGACTGAGGCTTTCAAAGCTGGAAATTGAAAACAAAAGGGAATTTTCTGGCCTATGGTAAAATGTCTTGGTGGAAACTATGTATTTTTTATTCAAAACAGATTTTGGAAATCTGTTTTGTTTTCTGAGAGATTCATAAATATCTCAGGTTTTGTAAATGGACTGATTATTTTGGCACAAACGTGCTTCAAATATTTGCCAATAAGAATATTGATGGGTTTGATTATATAATTAAGGAAACCAATCACTAACAACAATTTCATGTAGCTGAAAGGTAAGACATAATGAATTAACACTGAACTAACAAACTCAAGAAAATCTGTTGGTTAGACTTCTAAATGTAAAATTACACATGCCTAAGAACTGTATCTTAATGCTTTCACCTGTTCAGAGTGCTTGTCTGATGATGTGCTGAACATGCCTCTCCTAAGATAGGTTGATTTTTTTCTAATTCAGTTTATTTCTTTATGCCTCTATCCTGAAAAATACTAGACCCTCAATGGCTTCACATTTAAATTGTGTATAATCAGGTTTGTCTGTAGAAGTTTAAGAAAAACTAACATGATTGTTACCTTTTCCCACACGCAGATTTTGTTTAATGGCAGCCTTTAACATTTAAAGAGTATTGGGTTTGCTAATGCATTTTGTGTATTTTCCCTAAGTGTCTGAGTATGTACATCATCCATTCCCAGCACACTGAAATGTGCACACATGCTTGAGTTGTTCAGGAATCATTTTAGCCTTATGTGCATAGGACCTGGTTCTGAAGTCCTTGAAGAAGTCACAAACTGCACCAGTTGAAATACTCTCGCTTAAAGGAATTCAGAATCATGTGGTACTAAGTGGTAAGTTGTTCTGTGGTGCATTTGAATTAAGATATCCTGGTTTTCATTGCAGGCATCTGTTCCACAAGTCCTGTGTGGACCCCTGGCTGCTGGACCATCGCACCTGCCCGATGTGCAAAATGAATATTCTAAAAGCTCTGGGGATTCCGGTAAGCACTGTGCAGAGCAGCCCATCAGGCCACAGGGGAAACACCAGCCACCTGAGTCCTTTGCCTGTCTGTCCCCATCTTCCTCTTTTTGCCATATTATTGAATAATTGATTGATTTACTAAGGGAAGTACAGTTGGAAATGTCTGACCCTACCTCTGTCCTGCACCCCACTGGTATTAGCAAGGCAGAGCATGTGCGTGGGCATTGGTTGGGTGTTGGATTTGTGTGTCTGTGCCTGCCTGCTTGGTGAAGCAGAAATTGGTCACTGGTGTTTTGGTGGATCTGTAGAGTCTTTCACAGTGCTTTCAGGACTGGCTTTATTTTTTTTAATCATGCCCTCGGTTCAAATCTGAAAGTAGAAAGTCTGCAAATAAAGTTTTGTCTGCTATACTCATCAAGGACAGCTAATTGCTCATTCTGGGAAAGCAAGTCCTTTTTCTGACAGATTTCTCTTAAAGTCCATCTGAAGTAAGGTCTGTACTCCTAATTCCAGTTAAGGGCCATTTCTCCCAGCTACTAAGCATGTGGTGGAGCACATGACATACAAGAAATTGTTAAGCTCTTTGTTATTTGGAGCATTCAGATGTGGTTAGAGGCTGCCAGAGTGATTGATCTTTGTCAGTTGTGTGTTTGCATTCAGATGGTGTGTGTCCTGTCTGCCATACACGTTTCCAACTGGAGCTATCACAGAGCTCAGGGAAGGAGTGAGTCACTCTACCCCCTGTGCAAGGTTCCTGAAGTTCAATACTGAAACACCTCCAGGTGCTGTAAATAGCCTCCCAGGTTCCAGTCAGTGATGCACCAGCTCACATTTGAAAGAGCTCTATAAAATAAAATAGTTCACTGAATGTGTTGGGGAGCTGCTATAGCCATTCTCAGAGAAACCAGTTCCATGGAGATAGGAAGCAGGTATGTTAGATATGTATAGGTATGGCAGATATGTTAATAAACCTAATATAATCCAAACTGAAAACATGCAAGTGGGAAAAAAGAAGGAAGGCATTGCAGCTAGGGTAATGCATCCAAACAGAGTGGCTGCTTTTTCTGCTAAATGTGTATATTGTCTTTCATATGTTTAGTGGTGATACAGCTGTTAAATCAGGGTCTAAGATGAAAAGCCCAGA